GTTTGATCAAGATCACTGTATACACGAGTACAAGATTGTGATTGTGTATTGTTCCATTGCAGTACGGAAAGACCTAACGCTGCGGCTTCAGTTCAGGTTCTTTAACAACCTGCAAAAAGGCGCGCGCAGCCAATAAGGCGTGCGTAAGGTCAGGCCCCCGCGGCAACTGTGTTAGCACGCGCCGATAACACTACGCTTGTCTTATGAGAGCTTACTTACAAATTGAAGTTTCACTTCTCGCGTAAATGTGGATGCAGTTTTATACACACTTATAGCAGCTCAATGAAATACGGCTTTATAGGTATTTTGCACCGTTACTAGAACAAAATAGTACCAAAATCATTACTAATAAAAAGGTTGACATCAAAATCAAATCTGTTAGGCTTTGTATATTAGTATTAACTAAAGTTTTGTCTATTTACACTAAATTCTTACCATAAATTACACCCACAAAATAACAACAAACTGCCTTTTGCCCGCGACTGCGGACAAAGTTTAAAAAAAAAAGTGGCTTATGTTCTAAATCTGTGACAAATTTCATCAAAATTCGTTAACCTGTTTTGGGTATATAAACATTAACATTTATTAGTATGAAGTATAAAACTGCACCATAGATGCGATTCTAAAATATGCATTTCTTACACTACACGAGTGACATTTTAACTCAACTTCTTAACACATCTCTATATCCTGTCTCTTAGATGCTTGGTCTTTTATAAAAAAAATATTCTAACGATGTATCATTTGATTTTAGCAGAAAGGGGAGCGTAGGACGCAATAATTTGTAGAAACGGCCAAAAATATGGGTAAAATCTGGTTTCAATCGGCGCGAATGATCAAGGCCGTTTTCAAAATATTTTTGTGTTTCGAACTTAACGGTTTTACGCAAATACTAAACATAATCGAGTTTTGTGTTAAGATTATTTGCTGGAAAATATGACAGGATAGATTTACTTGTTTTAACATTTTTTTCACAACGACCAATGTGATTACAAAATCAAAACCATAGACAAAAAATGTGTGTTGAAAAAACTAATTTACGCATGCCAGTGTGTTAACTAGAATGAGATTGTAAAAGCATTTGAGAATACTGTGGCATGTATTGTTTTCTTAATCTTCCTGTTCATTTCTGTGATTGAATCTATTGTTTACTTTTATATGTTCTTTTTAACCTATAAATTTAACGGTATCGGCATTTGTTCTGCAAAATATCACCAAAAAGTTCTAATAAATCAGATGTCATTGAATATTTTTATGATTAAAAAAGTAGCAAATGTCGGTCCGTTTTTTGTCTTTGCCTAATTAAAAAAAAACAAAACCCTTTACGACCTGTTTGTGTGTATGCATTACAGTACGCCAGCAACGCCGGAGCCAGAACAGCGCTTAGAGTCCTGAACTACACGTGTGGTACGTATCACTTGTGATTGTTTTTAGAGATTAAAGTACTTTACGATGCATCTGTCAATAAACTGACACTAGTGTTGTACCGGTCTTAATGAAATATTTTTTACCGGTAAATTTTACCGTTTTTTTAGTCTACTTTGTAAATATTAATTTGTTATAGATGTAGAAATTTATAGAATAGAAAAGGGAGACATCATGACAGAGGTAAAGGTAAGGGTTAAAACCCTCTTGCTAAAACCTGAACCTTTTTGATTAACAAATGGAACCCATGATATTCCTTATGTGTTGGTATAACAAATTCACTGTTGTCGAAAAGTGAGGATTTATGATAGGATAATTGACATCGTATTTACTGTCGCCTTTTATTCATGTTTCGTTGTTTACATATTTACAGCATACACCATTTTCTCTTATCATCAAAAACAAGACTACTGTAAAACCAAGAGATTTTTTTTCCTCTTTTCCCCAGGCGGCCGTATTCGCCGCTTGAGTCAGTTCACCCGCAGCCCCAGCTGGGTGGTGGGCTGGATCCCGTGAGCCGCCGCACAGATCTTCTGTACAACTCTTTGTCACTGTGTAGTACACAACACAACACTAACGCCGCGACACGAACATACGCTTCGATACACGTAATCCTAGGAGCCGAATTCCGATACGAACTAGATATAACCAGATCTAACCGCTTTGAACCGGTGCAAGCGCTGAACATGCGCATTTTTTATATTTGTAAAAACTGAATGCTAGAGTATTTTCTATTTTTTTTAATATGTTTACTCAAGGTATTATTATTTTAAATCCTTTTTTTTATGTTAGGTGCTTTTTTTGGTGCAATTTGTTTATTCTTGACTGTTTTATCTCAGTAGAATTTCGGCTCTGGGACGTTACTTGACATTTTTTAAATATTTTTTAGATTTTATATCGACTTTGCCTTTGGTGTATTAAATATTTTGAACTAGACAAAATGTAAGCTTAAGGTGTTATGAAATTAAAGCTTCAACGATTTCAATAAATTTTTAACGCTAAAAATTGTAAATGAATTTGCTATTTGTGATTTTTATAGAAGCTATTTTAGATTTTTTAATGATGACATAGACACTTTTCACACTCGATGTTTTAGTTTTACTACACAATTTCAAAGATCAGTTGACAGTTACAAATATGATTTACGATGTGAATGATGTAAGGAAACAGAAATTGTGGTTTTATGTACAAAAACCGATAATTTGGTTTAACCGGTTGATGGCAGGCCCATCACTATTTTAAGTGTCATAGAATCGACGCTTTAAAAAAAACACTCACAGATTATAAAATCGTGCATCATAAAGTCAGAATTTTTGTTTCCGTGTGTTTGTCGTACGTTTTATGATTAATTATTATTTTAGTGTGAGTCTAATGAATTCGTAATAATTTTAATATTAAATGTAATATATGTTAGTTTTAAACATTCCATTTATGCAAAACATGTTTTTTATGGACTAAATTATGTTTAAAAAATAAAACAATATAATAGTTTTTTAAAAAAATAAATATTCGAAAATTACTGGCAACGTTTTGACAAATTAAATTGACATTTTGTCTGTAAAAATTATTCTATGACATGTTCTGCGTCAATGGAGTGTAAGTTTTACTTTTAATTTTCAATGAAGCACTAGGTTTTTTTTTTCAAATGCAATAAGTGTATTTAGGGAGGTTTATAGACACCCGTGTTTTATTACGATTCAAACCTTTTGCTTTTTTGAAATATAAAAAGAATTATATTTGCTTATCTTATAAAATGTAACTTTATGTATATTTGATAAAGAATACTGCGGATCTTAGAATCCATAACATTGTGATAAACATCATGTTTTTCCATTTAAAAAAATGTATGGCTTCGATTTTTTTCATTTAGTTTCAATGTAAGAGATTATTTGTATATGAATTTAGATTTTTTTAAATGATTTATTTATGAGATCGAAGTTTAATTATTATTTCTTATACTTATTATAATTTATGTCGAATCAATATTCAGAAGCATTTTGGTCCAATGAAATTTTTTTTTTGACATTTATAGCCGGACTTCTGTAGTTTGTGACAAAAATAAAAGTACATAAAGACTATAGTTTTTTCATTTATATCACAATTCCTATTAATTTATTCCTGTACGTTTTATACTTTTTTAAAACCGTTTTTTTTTTATTTTTCCATAGTTCCCATTATTGGATTTTTTATAATAATAATGAACGAATATTGTGGATGCTTGAAAAGTAAAACCATAATGAATTGATTTTTTTCATATATTCAAAGTTTCATATTACAATTCTACAAATTACGGATATCATCCAAAAAAAACTTTTTTTTCAAACCGTCCATTGCGTCTAATATGTAGTGTCTGATCTGAAAAGAAAAAAAATCCGAGTATTTATTACAATTTTTTCGTGTAACGGCAAAGAGTATTTTATGCGACATATACAAAAAGGAAATATTATTCATTTATTTTTTACACGTGAATATAGTTTTTAATTAACAAAATACTGTTTACCTTAAAAGAAGCAATTTATTAGCGGCTGACAATCAGCGGTTGCGTTCTTTCTGAAGAAACCCAAGTTGCAAAGACAACCGGGTGCGCAGCTGAACAGATTCTCACAGATAACTGGCTTGGAGATCGCATCGCACGTGTCTAAAGTGCAGTTACTCTTGCATTGAATAAATGATTCATTTGGCCCGGTGCAGTCTGACGGCGAAGACTGCTGTATCGTAACGACCACGTATAACAACGTTACTACACCAGCTAATATTATCTTCATTTTGCACGTTCTGTTCAACTAACAGCAGTATGTCGCAAAATTGAATTGTCTCGAATTTATATTAGAACCGTTTATCTTATATCATTAACTTGAGTGACAAATTTGAGGTTATCGATGAGTTTTACTAATGTTTTTATTTAAGTCTAATTTATTTCTATCTAACGTTGAAATATGGTGTCGTTTAATTCTTTATCATTGTTACAAGTGTACATTTATTTCTTTTATCTTACTACAAATTAATTAAAAGCATCGGTATTTCTTAGGACTAATAGGCAATATGCATATGACGCCAAATTGTACCAAACTTTTTTTGAGTATACTCTATTACTATAAAAACATTCCTGCAAAGATTTTTTAAAATATTATGTGATTTGGTGGCAAAATTTAATCATTAAAAAGTGTCTTTTTTTCAAATTCCCTCGCTAAGTTCTAAAACGCACACTATTGGTCGAAGCAAGTGGCTTATTTAGATAATAGCCATATTAGTATGGCGTCGCTGTGTTTTCAATACACAGTTCATTTACGTTAGTTTATATAGAAATACACTCTTGAAGTATTTTACTGTAAACACGATATCAAAACCAATATTAAAATTAATGCATAGAATTATTAATTACCACTTATTTGTACCAGGAATAATAAAAATGAATCGATTTTTAACCTTTTGACTTTGAGAAGCAGTGAGATACTTTGTTGTTTTTTTTACATCGAAGTGACATCTAAGCGTATTTTATGAATGGAATAAGACGATTGACGTCAATTGTCTTATGACAACTCCGGTCGCGTTTTAGTCGCTCGAAAATGGTCGTAATTTTATTTTATTATTTTTAGCTCAATGGTTGAATATTTTTCTGGTTATTTTATAACAAGTAGAATCGTTTATAAAAAGAAAAAAATACATGCATATTCCTATTGCAAGTGCCGTCTTGTGTATGCCTACGACTTGATCTAAATCGTTTTACATGTCGACTATAAATAACCAGAGACCACTAGGAGGTACAACTAATATGCTGTTCACACCTGGCATAGTTGGCCAGTAGCACAAGAGAACCGGACTGTCAGTCAACTGACTAAGTCAGTCAGCATACTGTGAATCTTTTGGCGCTAGTGAATCCATATAATCTGACTGACCAAGTGTAAACTGACATTAGAAACGGTAACACTGTTTTATAAACTAAGATCTCATTGCCAACTTCTCTGATTTTTGCAATGACTGCAGATAACTTTCTATAGATCTAAAAAGATTGTCGATCGACTTTTAGGGTCACTATGGCTTAATGGGTGATTTTTATACTTAGTAAAATGGTTGTGTAAACTAGTACCACTTTTACACACATTAATCTAGACCGTAGGCCACAAACTGCAGTTTAACGTGCGCTGAGAAATAACAAAATAAGTGTTTAACCAGCTAAAGTATTTATTCCACTTAAATAATAATTCTGTAAAATGAAAAGCTATGAGGCTTTCGCAAAATTTTACTCTACTACTTTAGAATGCTCTAGAGGAGGAGGGGAAGGCACTGCCCGAAGCATCACCGATCGATGTTTGTGTTGTTTTTATAGTATGTAGATATAAATGGTATAAATTAAATTTAATGAATATTTTCGTTAATTCACATTTTTTATGTGACATCGAATTTACATTGCAGTTTTAAAATAATTGTTTGAAATAATACAAAACGTTTAACAAGAAATACAAGTTTTATTTATAAATAGTAATTTAAAAAAACATAATTTACATAAAATTAGGTAAATTTAAATAGCTTGTAAAATTGTGATTTCTTGTTTTCTGCAGAAGTACATTTCGTATTTGGCGGGAAATTCCACTGTTAAAGTCTGAAAATAGAAAACATATTATTCGATGATCATAAGACATGTAAAACCTTAAGAGGTTTATTGACTGACATGACTTATATTATGGAGCTTGCCGTATTACGGATGAACAAAAATATCTCCTAACATTCGTAAGATACTTTAAATTGTGTTGTAGTTCACGTTCTTCATTCCCAGCTTCATAACACTTAAATCGCTAAAAATATTGTTAAAAAACCAATACTTACGGAAACTAAAACAAACATTCAAGTATAGGTTTGCAAGGTCCTGATTCGTTTTTCCTCGCAAAGCCGATCTCGCAGACGCAGCCGGGAGAACACGGTATCACTTTCAGACATGACACCGGCCGTCCGACGTACTGGCAAGTGTCCTTTATGCAATCGCTCTTGCAAGGTATCCATTTCTCGTGGGCACCATGACAGAGCAGTTTCTGTAGAAATTGAGAAGAGTTTGCGAACAATAAGCACACGACTAATAACGCTAAGATCGATCTCATCTTTGCTGCTTTCTGAACTAATGAATGTATCTCTTTATATACGTTGGATATTTAAATAGAAAATATATCAACTATACTTTATCGCTTTTATTTATTTAATTAGATAATTTAGGAAAGTTCTTGCCAACTTTAATAGATAAACGATCATAGTTCTAGTTTAATACAAATTGTTAAACAGAATTGTTTTCAGTACTATTACTAGACATTTCTTGCCAAGTATTTGCAAATTTTAGTACTTTGTACTGGCTTTTTGTATCGTAAAGTACAAATTTCCAACGGAGAATAGGGTGAGTAATATACCTGGTATGTACTCTTTAATTTATTTGTCTCAATATATGGGAGTTAGGTTAGAAATAAAATAAAATCTGTTATTTTCATAAGCTTTATTTATTATTGATTTTAGTATCTAAAATACCTCACATTGACAGTAATAAATATTTCCATTAAGATTGCAATTTATAATAATGCAGAATAACAATAGAAAAAAAGCATTTCCGAGCTATTGAAAAAACTACATTACACTACAGTTTAAATATTTTAGGCCTATATTTTATCATATCAAGTTTTTTTTAAATGCTGAATTAATGGTTTCTGATGTAAAATGCTAAGAACTTGTATTTTGCTACGTGACCTGTGGAAATGGTATTTATAAAAGTGAAAAAGTGTAGCTTTTGTACGTTATATTCACTTTGTAGAACTAGCTTCTATTTTCACTATTATTGCACTAAGTCTAATTAGCATGCATATTTAAAAATTAACTACAGACTTTTGTATTTTGTTTGGTCATTTCATAATGCATTTAAACTGATATGGTCAATGGCAGTTTCATGTTTTAGTCTATGACAACTTTGACATTACGCCAAGATGGCAACATTATAAATTTTTCTTTGATCTTGTTTAATTTTCTACATTACAAAGGTTTCTTAATCATTTCTTAGTATTATTAACCAGTTGTTGACCCTTAAAACTAGGATTTACTAAATTTACTTTAATTTTATTGTCATATTTTGGAAGACATGCTGAACAAAATTATAATAAAAAACAAAAAGTTACAAAAAAATATATTTTTCAACAAAACATGGTTGGAATAACATAAATGCTAAAAATTGTAAAAATATCTTTGAAAGTAATACATTTTTTAGAAAATAAAAGCAAACAAAACGTTACAACACATAACTTGTACAAAATGTTTATTAAAAACAAGCTATTTTTATATGGTAACATTCTACTTAAGAAAAAAGACTATAAACAAAAATACTTTTGTCTATGCATTAATAATTAAATATCAAATTAAATGCAAAGCTTTTATTTTAAAGAAGAAATTCACACAACTGCCAAAGTAAGCTAAAATTAGCTATGAAAAAATCGTAAATAAATTCTATAAGTACTTTTAATTGGGTTTTATTATGTCAAATAAAAAATAAATAAAAAGCTTCCAAAAAATCTTTAATTGCTTAACACCTTATTTACTTTTTCCATTAGATTTAACGAAACACTATAATACAAAATAAGAGATCTTGATTTTATAATTTGAATATTATTAAAATATAATATCTACGATGTAAAATGGCCGAATACAAAAAGCGTAAAAGCAATAAAAGTTAATTAAAATCATTAACGTCACTTGGATAGACTATAAAATAAAAAAAGTCTCGTTTCGATGACGTCACAAATAGCAAGCAAAAGTTGACATAACCTATAGTTTATTCCAACTAAAGTTTGTTAAAAAAAACCTTTAAACCACGCCCAAACTTCGTCAATGCGAAAATAACTGAATTTACAATTAACTGGCAAACGGCTGAATCCTGAAACGAATCTCACACACCATTTTGTGAAGAGTTAACAATCTAACAGACGTCAAAATTTTTTTTGCATATATTTTTATGTAGCTTCATTCGATCGACGTTTTTTTATAACTGGAAGTTTCAACTTGGAATAGACTATAAAAAGAAAGCCCATAAGTCTTACAATTCACAATTCTATAAAAACATAATAAAAGCATTTATAAGTACATAACAATAAACTACTAATTTAAGTAACAACAGCAAACTACCATTTTAAGACTTAATTTAAAACTAAAATGTAACTAAGTGTTAAAATAATAAACGTAACATGTCAGATTATGATATTCTGACAACCCAGTGTAGCCAACGTAAAAATAACTGAAAGTCTATTCCTCAGTGTAGCCAACAGACTTCTTGTCCCGTCGCCAACTGAGCAGTTCGTCGAGCAGAGCCTCCATGAGAGGGTTCCCTCCCATCCTTGCCACCTACAATCAAGATATTGTATCCAATGAAATAACCCTGCTCGAAGGACCAAAAGATTACACAAATAAGGAGATTAAGTATAAATTAAGTAAATTGACTTCGTATTTTACTGGACACTGTTTTTTTTGTAAATCCCTTTTTGATGTTTTCGAGTATATTCACCTAGCATTCACCCGCGACTTCTTTTAACGCGAAATTAACCAAAATTTAGTAAGTAGCCGATGTGTTCTTCCATCCTATTTACTATATTTATGCCAAATTTAATAATAATAATAATAAATAATAATAATAATCATTTAATCCATTCATAAAGCAAACACTATATAATTAATTACACATAATAATAAATATCGGTTCAGCAGTTTAGGCTACAAATTCTCAAACATACATCTAAACTTTCCGATTTATAGTTTATTTTTATTTTTATTATTCATATTATGTCGTTTTTTATATGTTTTATCTAGTAAGTTTATGTGATATTATTTAAAAAACTAAGATTAGGTTATTTTCTCTATCTATACTTACATTATAAAAAGTAAGGATTTGTATGTATTGAAATAACTCAAAA